GCAGAGCCTGAGTGAGCAATGTGGTCGTCAGCGAGTCTTGTCTCATGACATTGTCGGGCGACGATGCTGCCAAAACCCTTCGCATCAATCGGCTAAAATCAAATTTAGAAAAGAGGAAAAGGAAGAAGGAAAAAAGGGAGAAGAAAAAAACTAAGGACTACAGGTGAAAATAAGCTAATCACCTAATCAGATGCAAAAGATCATCTCGAGTAGGAAGGAGAAGTGAGACAATCGACCAACATAGGAGAGATCGCTGCTGTATAGATAGCACATCTGATGCCCATTCCAGTAATTCAGCTGTTCCCTCCCTAAAGAAACGCTTTGAAAATAGATTTGGCATAGATTCATAGGAAAACTGACCTCAAGTACTGCATCAAAGGAGCATATTGATCCAGTGATAACACCTTGATTCGATATCGTGCAGCGCGAAAAGTAAAGCCCGATTCGGGTGCATCAGCATGAGATCTTGCATCAGGCAATGAGAATAACGCCGATACTCCCAATGGTCTACTCTTCTTGCCGCCGCCAGGATGCGACAATACTGAGAATTGCAGAGTGCCATTTTCAGGCGGGACTAGTCTGAATATACAAATATCATTCCGAAATAAAGGAAGAATAGCTTGATGATACTCACGGTAACAAGAAAGAACAGTCAAAGATAACCGAGGGAGGAGCTCCCTTGCTAGTTGAAGCAACAATGACAGGTGTACTGCACACCTAATATAAAAATTCACAAGATATATTGAACAGGAAAAAAATGGAAAACCAACCTTGATTCCACAAATCATCCCGTAAGCTGAGTAGAATCCGTCGGGCTTCACCGACTCCGATCTGTAAATGTATAGGCTAAACTCAAACACTATCGAAAAAAGAATCAAGTTATTGAAACTAAAAAACTGAAAAAAACATTCTAACCTATACTTATCAATATGTAACTGTAAAACTGCTACATATGATTGTTTCGGTGGTTCAAATTGCAATCCGATCATTACAGGCACGGCACCCGTTCGAAGACCCAAGACTCTTGGCCTGAAGAAAAAAAACATCAAGAAAAATTTCAAAACCTATAAACTGGTGACTAACCTCAAAAGCTCCAGCCATTTTATAAGAACATGCGTAGGACGAAAACACAGATATATACCGGGTAGGTCGATATCCGTCTGCGAGAAAAACACACAGCCCTCACGTGAAAATACGGAATCATCTAGCAGATACATTACGCAGTACGCCAAATCAAGAACCAATCTGGCTTTCGCGCTCTAAAATTGGATTCATGGTGACACGAACACAAGAAGTGCTAAAAGGCAACTTACCAGCTCGGTGTCTGAGATGATCAGCTCACAACCGCCATTTGGATCGTCGCATAATGTCAGCCAACAAGGTTTCCACGCCTTTTCTTCCCGAGCTGAAGAAATAATACTTTCTCCAAGAACCGTACATATATTTGCTTTTAGAATATTTTTCTGAAGAAACTGATAGGAAGGACTTGACTAAACCAACACATAAGCTACATCTCCTAAGCTCCATTCATGGCCGAGGAATTTTGGCTTGAACTAGTGTCCACACCACACTCTACAGTCAGAGGGTACGGTCTTGGTCGAGAGTTTGAAGTTGAATTTCTCGACCACAAATGAGTCAAACGAGCTGCCACTTGTGCAATGCCTTAGATTTAGTCGAGGCACCTAATTAGCCATATGAAAAACCAGATACAAAATTTGCCTGGAAACGGCCTCCAAAAAGTGAGAAACCCACATTTTCTCAGGGCTTGGACAGCTGCGACGGTATGGGAGGCGCAGTTATGATTCACATAATCGGATGTCGCCTCAACCGATGCCGTGCTTGGTGGCCAATCCGAAGTAGTCATCACTGCCGACTCAGTGTTGTTAGCTTCGATTTCTGCGCTCGGACGTCGTGACGAAGTCGATGGCAAAACGGCATGCGTTAGCCGAACGTCGCTTGCTATCGGATGGACGCAGTACCTGAGACAAAAAAAGTTGCGAAGGAAGCATGATTTCCACAGATATAAGGAGCGGAGCTACAATGGGAAACCGAAAATCAAAAGCTCAGAGAGAGAACATCATGTCCTTACGACATAAGGTTTGAGTTTGAAGGCACCGTCTACCCAATTTCTAGATTTCTATATTTTTGTCGCTTTCAGGCTTTCTGAAGGCCCTGATTCCAAATATGGAGTCGA